CGCACATTTCTTTTGCGCACAGTTCGTTTGCACACTTTCCCATCCACACAACAATTATAGGGATCTCGTTTTGCGTTGTAAAGTATATGCGTGGACACAGTGGGCTCCGCTCCCCTTGATCGTGTATAACGACACATGGAGCTGTTGCCTACTCGCTGTCACTATATGAATGACAACAAAGTGAGACATTCCATACACAATATAATAGCGCTCTATATGCCGCATACCGACACGCGTCTTTGTTTACTTATTTGGCGATATGATCATGTGGCGTAAGAGCCGTGGCACATAGAAAAACTTAAGCAGTAAGACTTAAGACGTAATGGGGTGTACATATACACATATTCGCTCTCTCTCTCTCTCTCTCTCGCTCTCTCTCTCGCTCTCGCTCTCTCGCGCTCTCCAACTCTCTCTCTCCCCCTCTCTCCCTCTCCCTCTCTCTCTCTCTCGCTCTCGCGCGCTCTCCAACTCTTTCTCTCCCCCCTCTCTCCCTCTCCCTCTCTCTCTCTCTCTTAGTATAGAGCATTTACAGGAAATTGTTATGGGACTACCGAAAAAGAAAGGTACAGAGGAGGGAATAACTAGCGATATATTAAAGGCAGTATTTTGCGTAATAAAAGAGGAATTTGTTGATATAATAAATAATTCTTTGAAGGAAGGTTGCTGTCCAAAAGGTTGGAAAACGTCTACAATAATACCGATTCCAAAAGTAGAGAAAGCTAGAAAAGCAAGTGAATTTAGGCCTATAAATATGTTACCGTATACAGCGTTCTCTATCACTCCCTTGACGGTCTTCGGCCATCTTGTGAATACACGACGACCGGTCACTGGTCTCTATAATCGTTAGCGCCTTCTCTCTCATTCGGACATTGTGAGCTCGCGCGCGGTATACGGACCTCTCTTGCATTTTCGGATATTCTCATCGTCTGTCGGAACTTCTCTTTCTCTCTTGTGGGTCACGGAATCTAACAACATCACTCCCGTCCATAGCGATAGCAGAATATAGTTGGCCTCACCTTCGCGGGCTCCAGCTGGCGGATCCAGATTTCCTCACCCCCGGACCTATAAACTTGATCCTCGGTGCTGACTCCTACGGGCTGTTCATCCAGCCCGACATCATCAAAAGGTCTGAGGAGGAACCCATCGCTCAACGTACTATTTTCGGATGGATTGTTCTCGGCCCGACCTCGGCACATACTGCCTCAGTTCATAGTTCTCATCATGTCGCAGTAGATCATGAGCTTCACGACCTCCTCACGAAGTTCTGGATACAAGAAGAGGTCCCTTCATCCTCCACCACTCAGCTCAACCCTGACGAAGAGGAGTGTGAAACTCAATTCAAGGCCACGCATTCACGACATGAGCATCACGACCTCCTCACGAAGTTCTGGATACAAGAAGAGGTCCCTTCATCCTCCACCACTCAGCTCAACCCTGACGAAGAGGAGTGTGAAACTTAATTCAAGGCCACGCATTCACGAAATCGTGCGGGGCGTTATGTCGTACGGCTCCCTCTCAAATTACAGGCAAGTCAACTAGGGGAGTCACGGTCAACTGCCCAACGTTGCTTGCAGCGAACACTACGGCGCCTCTCAACGGACTCTATCTATCATAATCTGTACTCATCATTCATTCTGGAGTACGAAAAGCTCCAGCACATGGTCAGGGTCCCCCCTTCCTCTCCAGAGCCATCACCGGTGTTCTACCTCCCTCACCATGGAGTTCTCAAGGATGACAGCATTACCACAAAACTACGAGTGGTGTTTAACGGATCCAGCCTCACCAGTACGGGATCTTCTCTCAACGATATTCTGCACACGGGTGCAAAACTCCAAGCAGACATCTCAGATATCTTACTCTGGGTGCGACGACACCGGTACATCTTTATATCTTTATCCACCAAAATGTTCCGCCAAATTCAAGTTCATCCGGACGATTGGGATCTCCAACGGATCCTCTGGGTAGATGATCAGCTCAACATCATTCCGTACCAACTCACGACGGTCACATATGGCACCCGATCAGCTCCCTTCTTGGCTGTTCGCGTCCTCCTCCAACTAGTTGAAGACGAAGGTAGGAACTACCCCCTGGCGGTCTCTCCTCTTCTCAAGGGCAGGTATGTGGACGACATCTGTGGTGGTGCCGACACTCTCCCGGAGCTGACCTCCATCGCTCACCAACTAGTGAACCTCTGCAAGGCGGGCGGCTTTCCTCTGGCGAAGTGGCAGAGCAATCATCCTGAACTACTCCAGGCTCTTCGTACGGACATCACCGCCGCGACGCCGCACTCGTTTGATGACGCTCAAGGCAAAATTTTGGGACTCACATGGCATCCTCACTCTGATCAGTTCGTCTTCTCGTGCAAGGCCTCCAACCGGCCCGTTATCACCAAACGGACTATACTCTCAGAAGTAGCGCAAATATTTGATCCTCTGGGATTCCTATCTCCGGTAATCATCAGAGCTAAGGTGCTCATCCAGGAACTGTGGCTAGAAAAGGTCGGCTGGGATGACTGCCTCTCGCCGCAACTTCGACATCGGTGGACGCACTTACGTTCAGAGCTGTCTGACCTGACTTCCATCACGATTCCTCGGTGGCTGTCTCTCACGCCGTCAACCATGGTCGAGCTTCATGGATTCTCGGATGCTTCGCAACTCGCCATGGCGGCTGCGGTTTATATCAAGGTCATTTCTCATCCAACGGAGCCAATCATCACGCTAGTGTGCGCCAAAACCAAGGTCGCACCTCTCAAAAGGCTCACCATTCCCCGACTGGAACTCACGGCAGCGGTTCTACTCTCTCGTCTCATCAGCTATGTTCAACGAACACTAGAACTCGCGGAGATACCAATCTACTTGTGGACGGACTCTTCGGTATCGCTCACCTGGATAAACAGTCATCCCTCTCGCTGGAAAGACTTTGTTCGTAATCGAGTAGCGGCAATTCAAGAACGCGTACCTCAAGGACATTGGCGGTTTATTCCCGGCAAGGAGAACCCAGCCGACTGTGCTTCTCGCGGCCTCTCTTCCGCTCAACTCTCTCGGCATCATCTTTGGTGGAATGGTCCCTCATGGTTAGCACAGCCTCCTCAACATTGGCCAAGCATGGCATCTCAGCCGGATTCGGCGGCGACTCTTGAGGAACGGCCCGGTCTTCTTCTCACCTCCTCAACGGCAAAGCAACACCACCTCTGGGAACTCCTCTATCGTTACTCATCACTCATACGGCTTCTTCGGATCACTGCTCTCTGTCAACGGTGTTGCGCGATCCTCAAAGGTATACCACAGTCCTCTCTGGCCACCCCCCTCACACCTGCAGACCTCGAAAGTTCACGACTATATTGGATTCGGTCAGTCCAATTGGCTTACTTCTCATCTGAACTGACAATAATCTCAAGCGGACCACACTTGTCAAGGTCTCATCCTCTCGCCAAGTTTACGGCCTTCATCGATCATTCGGGCATCCTCAGAGTCGGAGGCCGACTCAGACAGTCTCAATTGGACCCTGAATGCAAGCACCCAGCCATCTTGCCACGGGATTCATATCTGTCTCAACTCATTATATCGGACGCTCATCTAAGGACTCTTCACGGCGGAACTCAGGTAACCTTGACATATCTTCGCCAGGCTTACTGGATCGTTGGTGGCCGAGCCCCAGTAAGATCTCACATTCTCCGCTGCGTTCGGTGTGCTCGACAACGTGGCGTAAGGGCACAGCAACTCATGGGTCAACTGCCATCATCTCGCATTTCGCCATCTCGTCCTTTCCTCAACACAGGGGTTGATTACGCCGGCCCTCTCACTCTCAAAACTTGACGAGGACGAGAGGCTAAGTGTCACAAAGGCTGGTTAGCCATCTTTGTTTGCTTCTCAACGTCGGCGGTTCATCTGGAGGCAGTGACAGACTACTCTACAGAGGGGTTCATCGCAGCATATCGGCGGTTAACGGGACGGCGAGGTATCTGCCAAACTCTATTTAGCGACTGTGGAACCAATTTTCTCGGGGCAGATACATCTCTTAGGCGGTTATTCAACGCCGGATCAAAGGAATTCTCGGAACTCGCTCAGCTACTAACTCATGACGGCACCACTTGGGTCTTTAATCCCCCGGCAGCCCCCCACTTCGGCGGTAAATGGGAGGCCGCAGTCAAATCGGTCAAGCATCACCTACGACGGACTATAGGCGAGACTGCCCTAACCTATGAAGAACTTACAACTCTTCTGGTCCAAATCGAGGCAGTCCTCAACTCTAGACCATTGTGCCCACTGTCAGATGACCCGGAAGACCTGGCAACTCTCACTCCCGGGCATTTCATCATCGGAGCAGCGCCAACAACAATTCCTGAGCCATCTCTCACCTCAGTGCCTCTCACAAGGCTGTCTCGGTGGCAGCTCATTCAGCAGCAACTCCAACACTTCTGGTCGCGTTGGTCAGCTGAATGTCTTCAACGTCAGCTCGCAATATCAAAATGGCATCATCCCTCCACGCAAATCAAGGTCGGCTCTCTTGTACTTCTCACGGATGAGAGATTCCCTCCATCAAAATGGCCTCTTGCTCGGGTCACACAACTTCATCTTGGTTCGGACGGTCTATGCAGAGTGGTCACCCTCAAGACGGCCACCACAGAACTCAAGCGGCCTATCACCAAGTTAGCAGTGCTTCCGATGACACCAGATCAACCCTCACTCACAAGGCAATCAACTACTGATCCGGCCTCACCATCATCAAGATCATAATTCTTCAACGCTGTTGTAGAAGGCGGGCGGAATGTTCAGGAAATATCGCTCCCTTTTCTCAATCTTTGCACCGGCATCTCACTTACTCTAGTCCTTCTCTCTAGCATTCTCTCTCTCTTCCTTTTTCCTCTTGTACGCGGCCGTGACCCAATCCCGCAGCCTGTCCTATCAATCTAACTAGTCTCGCGCAATGTTATCACCCAATCAAAAGCACGCTCTCAGGACCTTATCCGCGCTCCTGCGTCGATATCGACCCTTACGGAAATCCTCGATCATTCTGTGAGTACCGGTCTATCGTGACGCACGTTGCCTTTAGAACAGTTTTCGCTCTCTGAATATTCGGTTTAGATTCTCGTGGCTCTGCTCAAGTGAACTCTAATACGGTTGTCTCAAACGGTCATTGTCATCTCACCCCCTCACACCTGCAGATCTCGAAAATTCACGACTATATTGGATTCGGTCAGTCCAATTGGCTTACTTCTCATCTGAACTGACAATAATCTCAAGCGGAGCACACTTGTCAAGGTCTCATCCTCTCGCCAAGTTTACGGCCTTCATCGATCATTCGGGCATCCTCAGAGTCGGAGGCCGACTCAGACAGTCTCAATTGGACCCTGAATGCAAGCACCCAGCCATCTTGCCACGGGATTCATATCTGTCTCAACTCATTATATCGGACGCTCATCTAAGGACTCTTCACGGCGGAACTCAGCTTGATACAACATAGTAGCATTTATTTATTATTACAATATAAAGTATAAATATTAATAAATATGCAAAACATTTGAAAAAACAAATAGAAAAAGTGAGAACAACAGTATTATTGCAATTCTTAAAAGACATGATGATAGTTGCCGCACGCGCGCACGCACGCACGCACGCACACACGTATATATTTTTTAATATATTGATGTGATTAATATTTTAAAATATACTTTGCAAAAATATGAAATCCGTCTAAAAAACATCACAGATGTAAAAAAAGCGCTAAGTATATCTTTCTCCAATCAAAATAGTCCTTTATGAAAACGTCATCAAAAATATTATTTTTCGCTAAGTTTTTTTGGCACATGAAATTTTTTTACTTTAATTTTTTTAGCGGCAATTTTTTTGCGCATAAAATTTTTTGAATTTAATTATTTTTAACTTTAAAATTTTTTGCATTAAATTTTTTTGTATTTATATATTTAACCTTAATTTTTGAATTTTTATTTTTTAACTTAAAATTTTTTAATTTTCGAAATTTAATTTTTTGTCTCTTATATTTTCTTTTCTTGAATATACGTTTAAGTATATTTGAATTAAATAAATATGAATAATTATTTAGATATAAATAATTTATTATTTGTATATATGTATATAAATATTTTAAAAATATAATAATTATATGGGGGAGTCCCGTTTGCCTACATTCCCGATTGCCAACAGCTTCGTTTGCCTACAACATTTTGCCGACAGCTTCGATTGCCGACATTCCCGATTGCCTACAGAGCGATTGCCTACAAGCGTTATTGCGCATCACTTGATACATATCACCATAGATATATAGACTGGATTGAGCATTGCGAGATAAACAAACGCGCGCCCGCTGTAGAAAGAGAGGTACTATATGGGAGGCTTATGTTTGTCCCTTTTTCTAGCATCTCATTGGTGATTTTCTATATGGAAAAAGACAAAATCACCAATGAGATGCTAGGAAAAAAAACAAAATAGGCCTCCTATATAGTATCTCCCTTTCTACAACGAGCGCGTGTTTGTCTATCGCCACGCTCAGTCCATTCTATATGTATGTCTATGGTATATACACATAAATATATATATATATATATATATATATATATATATATAAATACAATTATATATACATATACATATATATAATTGTGTATATATGCTATATATATTATATATTACATATTTTTCCTTAAATTACAAAAATTTATGTGAAATTGTATACAGACGATCAATACATCTTTTTATACATATATAATTGTGTATATATGTATATATATTTAACACTTTTCCTTAAATTACAAAGATATCACATGTGTGTTTACCTGTGTGATGAAAGAGATAAACTGAAAGAGGGAAGGATGTTAAAATAATTTAAAGCACAAAATATATAATAACAAAACAAAATAAAACTTTCGCGCCCACAGCATAACCTTGTTATTACTGCAGATAGATACGTCGTTGCTAATGGTTATCATGGCCGCGCATGCGCGAGAAAACCCGGCCCGTCTCACAACACTGGGTGGACCTCGCTTTACAATCTAGCATGTACTTTATAAGTTGTACTTTATAAGTTGTACTTTATAAGTTGCTCCGTGCATGTACTTTGGTATAATTCAAACCTTTTTTGTTAATAACTTTTTAATAAGCAACGAGCGACGATTAAATTAGAAGAAAAAGTTACTCAGAATTATGTCCTTGACAACATATGTCAAGGTCAAGATCATTGGGGCTGGGTCCCCTATTCGCTATATTTACCTTAATTTTAATTGGAATAACAGCGCTAAGTTTTTTCCACATGGGATTTGTTTCGGTAGGCGTAAAATATGTTCGGCTATCTACGTCTATCGCTATTATCGGTTGGTTTACCTCTATGAATATAAACGTATTGTTAAATTTGTGCGTCGGTAGTGGGATTGCTTTTATTATTTCATACTCTGGGTATGTAATTAGTGGAAATTTTACAATTGTAAATATATTTGTATTATCGTAATATGCGCTAATTGTTAAGAACTTTTCGATTGTTCTCCAATTTTCTGCGGATATTTGAAATGGGAAGTGCGTTCCCTGCGGTATTGTGACGCGGTTTCCTTGAGGTTATCTAGAATGATTTCCATAAGTAATAATCTTATGTCGATTATCCCTCTTTTCGCGTTAGTCAGGTAGGCGATAATGTCCATAAGATCGTTTGTTAGATCTTTTATTATGGCATTTAATATAATAAAATGTTCGTCGAGATCTTCTCGTTGTCCGTAGCCGACTTCTGCTTGTAGCCAGATTTGTCGCATTTTTTCTGTTATATTCAGAAATTGTTCTTCGTTCTCTTGCAGAATTTTTTCAACGTTATTCACATGCGCAATCGTTGCGTTTAATATCTTGATTTGATTTTTCATTGCGTGCTGCAGCGTTTGCTGATTTTTTTCCATTAGATTTATTTGCTCTTTTATAATTTTTTCGTCATCTGCGTCCATTGTGCCGAAGTGTTTTGGCTATTGTACCTAGACCATCGATTAATCCTCGTCGTGTCTTCTTATGTGCTTGGTACACGATTTTTAGACGTTTCAGCAATTTTGCTGCTTGTCCTCTGTCCTTTTCTGCTATTTGTGGCAGGTTTCTTTCATTTCTTTCTGCAATGGTTTATCGTAGCATAAGGCTCTCGTTTGTGCCATATAATTTTCTAATTGTTTCTGTCGATGGTCCATTGCGGCGATAGCTAGTCTTACCACCATTTTCCAGGTAGATTCGATTTGGTTTATCTTGCCCATTTTTTCGAAGTGGATACCTGGTTCATATCTGAACTCTTTTATTTCGACTTGGGTATCAGGTTCGGTTTCCTTACAGATGCTCCATGCAATAAGACTCCTGTAATAGAAAGCTTTGTATTATATTATAATATTTTCTTAGAATCATTTGCGGTGCCTTCTTTTTTCTCTGGATGCATATGCAGCTATTTTTCGCTTTTATCTAGCCCTTTCCAGGCTTTTTGTTCGCTCTTCTGTTCAGTCTGCCTTCGGACGTTGTCTGTCTTCCTGGCGTTTAGCCATCGCTTTGTTTCGCGCTGTTTTGTTACCAATTAATGTTGTGTTGGTTTTTTCATGGCTCCGAATTCGAGTGAGTTTCGTTTCGCTGCGGAACAGAGTTCGGTGCGCGAAAGCGGTCGTCGCGCGGGGCAAGATCCGGAGGAGCACGACCATTTCGCTCGCTCCCTTCGGGATTAATTATCAGCGCCCGCGCTTGTTCGCGATGTCAATGCTCTGGGTCTTCCAGATTTAGTCATTGACCAAGACGTCGCTTTTATGCCCGGAGTTCCTTTGGACGCGCCGCTGCCCCATATTAATCGGGGTCGCGGGCTTGAGTTCCGGTAGGCTCCTCGTCCCGTGGGTCGCGGCGCCTTGGCGCGGGAACCTGGTCCCGTTGGTGCGGGTCGTGCCCGGTCGCCTCTTCTCCAGGCCCTGCGGGATTGGAACCTGGGTCACGGTGCTGGACGTGGAAGTGGAGGGCGTTAAGGTAAGAATTTTTTTATTTCTGTTTCTTCTATTTTTATTTTATTCGCGCATTTTTCTTTTTCTTTTTCTTCTTCTTCCTACTTTTTAATTTTCAATAAACGATTTTAATCGGTTTACGTGGACGCCTATGGTCTTCCTTCCCCTTTTTATTGTATAGTTCACTTCCGAATTCTTTTCGATTATCGTGTAGCGTCGCAGCCATAGGGAGTCCAATTACTTCGATCGTCCTCGGCGAACTGTTTCGTCGCACAGGAGGACTTTTTCTCCTACCATGAGCTTAATTTCTTTGCTTTTTTTATCGTAGTTTTCCTTTGTTTTCATTTTTTCGTTCTTTAGATGCTCTTTTGCAACTGTTGTGAGGCGCGTAATTTTTCTTTTATTTCTTGTGCGTAATCATCATATGTATACATGGGCTTAAATTAATTAGAAGAGTGTGAACCCTGTCGCGGTGTTGTTTTATATGTGAACATCGCGTAGGGAGTCCATTCGTCCCAATCCGTTTGATCGGCGTTTATATAATGTCGGAGGTATTCGGCTAGAGTACGGTGAGATCGTTCTAGCGCTCCGTTGCTTTCTGGATGATACGCGGTTGTTTGAATCTTTTCAATTTTCAACAATTTGCAAGTGTTCTTAAATATTTAACTTAAAAAATTTGTTCCTTGATCCGTTAATATCTTTTCTGGGATACCGTGCTCGAAAATTATTTTCGTCGCGAATTCTTTCGCAATTGTCGCGGCTTCTTGGTTCAGTATCGGAATTGCT